AGTAAGAAGATCATATACAATGAGCAAGTGGATATGCAAGGATAGTTCAACATACAAAAATCAACCAGCACACTAATAAATAAAGGAAAAACCACATGATTATCTCAATTGATGCAGAACAAGCATTTGATGTAATTCAAAACCCTTTCTTGATAAAAACAGTAAACTAGGAAACTTCCTCAACATGATGAGGGCCATATATGAAATGCCCACTCATAACATGATACTCAGTGGGGAAATTGAATGTTTTTCCTCTAACATCAGGAAAAAGACAAGCATGCCCACTATCTTCTCTCCTAGTCAACATAGTATTTGAAGTTCCAGCCAGAACAGTTAGGCAAGGAAAAGAAATAAAAGGCATACAAATTGGGAAGGAAGAAATAAAATCATCTGAGTTCACAGATTATATGATCTTATATTTAGAAAACCTGGAAGATTCTATAACAAAATTATTAGAACTAATAGATGATTTCAGGAAAGTAGCAGAATACAAAATCAACATGCAAAAATCATTTGCATTTCTATACACTAATGAATCACAACCCAGAAAGGAAATTAGGAAAACAATTCCATTTATGAAAGCATCAAAAAGAATAAAATATTTAGGAATTAACTTAACCAAGGAAGCAAAAGACTTGTACATTGAAAACTACAAAAGGTTGCTGAAAGAAATTAAGACACAAACAAATGGAAACACATCCTATGTTCATGGATTGGAAGACTTAACATTTTTAAGATGTCAATACTACTAACATGTTATAGAGATTCAATGTAATCCCTATCAAAATCCCAACAGCATTTTTTGCAGAAACAGAAAAATACATCTAGAGTTCATATGGAATCTCAAGGTACCCTGAATAGCCAAAATAATCTTTAAAGAAAAATAATTTGGAGAACTCACACTTCCTGATTTTAGAATGTGCTACAAAGATACAGAATCAAAACTGTATGTATTGTCAATAATGCTGCACATATAGGAGTGCATATCTTTTTGAAATAGTGTTTTCCTGTTCTTTGGATAAATACCTGGAAGTGGAATAGTGCCCATCAGTGGATGAGTGGATAAAGAAAGTGTGGTGTGTGTGTACATATACATATACATACATACAATGGAATACTGCTCAGCCATAGAAAAGATGAAATCTTGCCATTTGTAACAATGTGGATGAACCTTGTGGGTATTATACTAAGCAAAATAAGTCAGACAGAGAAAGCCAAATACCATATGATTTCACTCATAGGTGGAAGATAAAACAACAAACACATAGATACAGAGAATAGATTGGTGGTTACCAGAGAGGAAGGGAGTAGAGAAAGAATGAAAGTGGCAAAGAGGCACGTTTGTAAGGTGACAGGTGGCAATTAGACTTTTGGTGGTGAACATGATGTGGTCCCTACAGAAATCGAAATATAATGATGTACACCTGAAATTTATTTAATGTTATAAGCCAATGTTACCTCAATAAAAATTAAATAAAAACAGTGTAGAACTGGCATAAGGGCAGACATATAGACCAATAGAATAGAATAGAAACCCCAGAAATAAACCCTTGCATATATGGGCAGTTGATTTTCGATGAGTGCCGAGACAATTCAGTGAGGAATGGACAACCTTTTCAATGAATATGCTGAGAAAACTGAGTATTTACATGCAAAAGAATGAAGTTGGATCCTTACATTACACTGTCTAAAAAAAGTCACTTAAAGGTGAGTAAAGACCTAAAAGTAAGAGAGAAACTATAAAACTTAGAAGAAAATAAAGAAAAAATCTTAACAACATTGGATTGGTGATGATTTCTTGTTTATGATGCCAAAAGCACAGGCAACAAATGAAAAAATACATAAATTGGACTTTTATCAAAATTAGAAACTTTTGTACTTCAAAGGATAGTATCAGAAGAGGGGAAAGAGAACCCATAGAATGGGAGAAAATTTTGCAAATCATATATCTAATAAGGTTTTAATATCTGGAATATATAAAGAATACCTACAACTGAGTAACAAAATCCAAAAATGGGCAAAGGACTTGAATCATTATTTCTCCAAAGAAGATATACACAATGAGCACATGAAAGGATGCCCAACACCACTCATTATTAGAGAAGTACAAATCAAAACCAAATTAAGATCCCTCTTCACACCCATTAAAATGGCTGTTTTAGGAGTGGAGGCAGAGCTTCTCTGGGTGGGCGTGGGTTGGAATTGTAACCTCTTCCCCAGCCTAACTGTAACCAGCATCATGTGGTTACTAACCACTCTTCATTCACCTATTGATGCCTCCCATACATGAAGGAGACGACCACACCTTTATACTTAATCGGAAGAAGAGGGAGCTAAGAAAAAGCCAGTTCCTGAAAAACTGACTGGATTTCTCAGATGTCAGTAGTCTCAAGAAATTGATTGCTGGTTTTCATAGAGTTGCTAGAGTCACTTTTCTGGCTCACAAGAGAGCACATCAATAGAACAAAATGGAAATAGTACCGGTAACATCAATAGAAAAAAGACATTTCACCCAGAATCTTGGAGTCATAAGGGAATTCAGGTCCCAAATTTGCTTTTTAAAATATCTTGTCATAAACTACTTTTAGTGTCATAAGCAGTTCACTTCATATTTTTCGTGTATTAACTGTTTAAAATTTTTAAATTTCTTTTAGTAACTGCTTAAAATGTATGTAAATAAATGGTTGCAGAAAATTTGGAGGGGAATCCCGCTTTTGACTCCAGAATGCAGCCGTATGCCCCAGCCACAAAATGTCTTTCTTAATTGTTTCCTTTAACTACTAATTAACTTTAATCACCTCATTCAAACTAATTCATTCTGCATTTCTGAGTACCGACTGTTTGTCAGGCTCAGTGTCGGCTTCCTCTGTGACCTGATGGGTGGAAAACTCAAAGCAAAGTCTGACTTTTATAGTGGAGCTAACAGCTCTGCAACCCTGGCTCACCTGCTGAGAGGGCAAGATGAAGAAAGAGCAGCATGCCTTGTTTTAGTGAATAGAGTAGGATGGGGGAGAGAAGGGGACTCAGATAAGTTACTTAGGTGTCCTGTGTTTTGATTTTTTGTTTCCAATCAAAGAAATCTGTAAATATTAAATAGGTGGCAGAATGATTTCTTGTAGTTACTGTTTAAAATATGTGCAAATAAATATTGAAAGTTTTCAGAGAAAAAAATGGCTATTTGAAAAAAACCTGAAAATAAAAAGTGCTGGGGGCGATATGGAGAAATTGGAAAGCTGGTGCATTACTGGTAGAAATAATATTTTATTAAAAATTTAAATGATTAGCGTTGTGTTATCCATCTAGTTCACTTCTAGGCACATACCCAAAAGAGTTGAAATCGGGGACTCAGACACTTGTACATCACTATTCATAGCAGCATTAATCACAAGAGCCAAAAGGTGGATACACCATAAATGTCCATTAACGGATGAACAGGTAAACAAAATGGGGTATATACATTCAGTGAAACAGTATTCAGACTTAAAAAGGAATGAAATTCTGACATCTGCTACAACATGGATAAATCTTGAAAACATTACGTGAAATAAGCCAGACAAAAAAAGGACAAATATTGTATGATTCTATTTATGAGAAGTACCTAGTATAGGCAAATTCATCAAATAAATGTTCCCAGGAGATGGGATAATGGGTTAATTGGGAGTTATTGTTTAATGGGTACAGATGATGAAAAAGTTCTGGAAATCAATATTTGTGATGGGTGCACAACATTGTGATTATACTAAAGCCACTGAATTGCACAATTAAAATAGTTAAAATGGTAATTTTATGTTACGTATATTTTACCACAATAAAGAAAATAACTCAGTCTGAACTATAGAAAGAAACTAGACTGAATAAAATGATGCAGGGGTCTGTGGGACAAAAACAAAAAGATCTACCATTTGTCTAAGTGGAATCTCTTATGAGGAGGAATATAGGCCTGAAAAAATATTTGAAGAAATTATATTTGAAAATTTCTCAACTTTGGCACAAGACCTAAATCTACAGATTCAAAAGGGAAGTAAACCACAGGAGGATAAATAGAAATAAAATAGAAATCCATGCAAAGACACATCTTAATCAACCTTCTGAAAACTAATAATAAAGAAAAAACTCTTGGGGCCAGCCCAGTGGCATAGTGGTTAAGTTTGTGCACGCCACTTCTGCGACACAGGGTTCGTGGGTTTGGGTCCTGGGTGCGGACCTACCTACCACTAATCAAGCCGTACTATGGCAGCATCCCACATGCAAAACAGAGGAAAATTGGCACGGATGTTAGATCGGGAACAATCTTCCTCAAGCAAAAAGAGGAAGATTGGCAACAGATGTTAGCTCAGGACCAATCTTCCTCACCAAAAAGAAAAAGAAAAATTCTTGAAAGAGGTTAGAGAAGAACTGTGTATTATCTACAATGAAACACCAATACAAATGGCAAGAGATTTCTCACTCGAAAACTTGGAGGTTAGAAGTATATGGCAGAAAATTGTTCCAGTGATTAAAGTAAATAATTATCAACTGCAAATTCTTTATCTACTGAAAATATCCTTTGGGAATGAAGGAGAAATATTTTCTCAGATGAAAGGAAATAGAATTTGTTGCTAGGTGACCTACCTTCAAACAATGGCTAAGGGAAGTTCTTCAAGGAAATGATAACAGAAGGAGACTTGGAAATTCAGAAAAGAAAGGGAACGGGTAAAAGAATGAGTTTGTATAAAAGACTATTCCCATGAGGTTGTTAAATCATATTCCATATTGGAAGCAAAAAACACACACTATCTGATATGGTGCTCAACATATAGAGAGAAAATACTAAGGACAATCATATTTCAAAAATGGCACGTGGGGGCTGGCCTGGTGGCATAGTGATTAAGTTTGCATGCTCTGCTTCAGCAGCTGAGGCTTCAAGGGTTTGGATCCTGGGCATGGACCTACACACTACTCATCAGGCCATGCTGTGGAGGTGTCCCACATACAAAATGGAGGAAGATTGGCACCGATGTTAGCTCAGGGACAAGCTTCCTCACCAAAAAAGAAAAAAAAATGGGGCCTGTAAAGAAGTAATATTCTATACCTCGCTGGAACTGATAAAACATCACTACCAGTCAACTGTGAGCAAACACTAAAAATGGTACAAAAAATATACTCAATGTTAATGTTGCCAAGGTCAACCCTCAACTAACAGGATCTATTCTGAGGTGCATCCTTTAGAGTTATTCAGACTCCTTAGTGGTTTTAGTCTCTTTGTCCCCAGCATCACTTTATTGGCTTTCCCTCCTTTTCTCTCAAATTCTCTCCATTCCCTGTATTTTCCCCATAACCTCTAAAATAAACTATCTGCACCCCAATTCTTTGTCTCAGCCTCTGCTTTTGTGGGGACCAAAGTAGTACTGTTGGTGCCAAAAGTGGTCCTAGAAATGAGGACTTCAGTTTTGGAATCTAGAACTAGATCACTTATGAGTCAGATGGCAGTGAAGGCCACGGTGCTAATGGTAAGTGGCGTGAGGATAATCCTTGTTGTGTTGTACTACCACACTTAGAACGATCCTCGTGTGGTGGGTGAGGACGGGGAAGGGAACATTTGTCTTCTGCAATAGCTTTGGCACTTGAACAGGATGGGACAACAGTAAGTTGATGAGTTGTGGAGTTTCTGACTTTTCTGCCTTAGAAGCCTTAAAGATCGGTTCAAATTAGCTAACTATCATCACAGGGCACACAGTGAAGGGTAGCGGACTTCCATTAAAGCGTTCAAAAGATCCTTACCTCCTGAGAGATGAGGCCATGTCCTATAAGTCATATCCAAGATTTAACTGCAGGACAGCAGTATTGCAAAGAAAATTATATGTGCAGATTTTATAGATTATTTCTTGTGCTAAATTCGGGCCTCTCATAAAGGAGGAGTGGAACATTGAGACCTAGGATGGGAAATTTGCAGCTATGCACCTGAGACCCTTAAACTAGGAGTTTCCCCTAAACTCTTCAGGCTGGCAGAAGCAGCCCAGTGTCTTAGATAGAGAGGAATAACCCTACCATTTCCTAGAGACGCTGCAAATGCCCACGTGGGGTGGACATCTTTCAAGATGATGCTTGGCCTTCTCAAAATCTACCCTACCTCTCCTCATTGGCTCCATTCATGTTTAATGTAATTAATGATATGATGGATTTAATTCTACCATTTATTATTTGTTTCTGTTTTGCCCCTCTGTTTTTTTGTTTTCTGATTTCTTGCCCTTTATTTTTTTCCTGTGGTTGAATATTTTTTTAGAATTCCACTTTATCTGTGGGCTTTTTAGCTGTATCTCTTTGCATTATGTGTATAGTAGTTGCTGTAGCAATTACAATATACATCTTCAACTTTTCACCATCTATTTAGAGATAATAATGTACCACTTCACATAAAATGTAGAAACCTTGTGACCATAAGGTGCTGGCACTGTTCTTTTTGCTATGGATGTCATATGTACATTATAAACCCAAGACAACAGATAACTTTTGGTTTCTGGTCGTTATGGACTGAATGTTTGTATTCTCCCAAAATTCATTTGTTGAAACCCTTCCCCTGCCATGTGATAGTATTAGGAGGTGGGGCCTTTGGGAATTAGTTAGGATTAGATGAGGTCATGAGGGTGAAGCCCCCATAAATGGGATCATGCCTTTGTAAGAATCACCGGAGAGCTTGCTTTCTCTGCTGTGCTGCATGAGGCTACAACAAGAAGTCACACTTTGCAACCCAGAAGAGGGCTCTTACCACACCTTCACTGTGACCTCTGATCTCAAACTTCCAGCCCCCAATGCTGTGAGAAATAAATCTCTGTTGCTTATAAGCTACCCAGTATGTGATATATTTTTTTTTGTACCAGCCTGAAATGACTGAGACAATGGTCCAAAATATAAACAGCTTGGAAGATGAGCTTGAAGTCTCACCCTCACAACAAGAAAAAAGCGGACCAAGCTGAAAAATCAACACCTCTTCTTAGAGCAATCAGAGAATTGAGGTCCCGGGGCAGAAATTCAGGAGGAGAGGCCCACAGCTGGAGCCGGTACTGAGAAGGACACTCCTGTAACTGAGGAATTGCTGGAGGCTCACTGTAGGCCAACTGGAGAGTGAAAAATTCCAAGGAGGGCCCAACCTTTGACAAGTTTTTCCTCCAGGAGCCTGACCAGATTCTCACTGTGAAGACCGTAGACAAATCTTGTGTTTCTGGCAGATAGAAGGGAAAAGTAACGATTTTAAAATATGCCCAGAGCTCTCTATTCTCCTTAACAAGGCTTGCCGTTAAGGGACACTATTTTACCAGAGCCTGACTAACCTGGGGGAAGGAAAATGCTCACTCCAGCCCCTGTAGCCTTCCTCTCTCACCTAAGGGGGGAAAAAAGACACAATTGAGAAACTCTTGCTAAGGTGACAGCCCAGAGACACAAGCTGACTAAAAGACTGACACCCATCATAGAACTGTAGGTTGTTCCGCCTCCCCTCGTACCTTATCACAGTATCAGTTGCCCTTCTGTGTAGTAACAGGAGGTTACAGCTAAAAGAACTGCAAGGCTCAGACTTTGTTTACGAAGGAGTCTATAAGGAAACACAAGGACAACAGGGGAGACAAAAGCCAGGACACCAGAGGACACGTTAGCCTCTGATGCCACAGCTACAGCAAACAGTAGATAGAGCCTAACTCCTAGTGACATAAAATTAAATGTCACACTAAAAGCTTACATACATCAGTTCCTTTTACCAAATACATCAGGTATGGCTTTCAACAAAAAAAAATTACAAAGCATGCTAAAAAGGAAAAAAAAAAAGACTCAAAAGACAAAGCATACATCAGAACCCAACTCAGATATGGAAGAGATTTTGGAATTGTCAGACTAGGAACTTAAAATAGCTATGATTAATCCACTAAGAACTCTGCTGGAAAAAAATGGACAACATACAGGAACACGTCATTAATGTAAGTAGAGAGATGGAAAGTCTAATAAAGAATAACAAGGAAATGCTAGACATCAGAAACACTCTAACAAAAATGAAAGTAGCTGAACACAGCTGAGGAAACAAGCAAGTGAGCTTGAGGATGTCAACAGGAATTGTCCAAACTGAAAATTAGGAAAAAAGGAATAAAATATCCAAGAACTGTAGAATGATTACAAAATGTCTAACATGTTTTTATTTATTTATTTATTTTTAGTGAGGAAGATGGTCCCTGAGCTAATGCCTGTGCCGATCTCCTCTACTTTGTATAATGGGATGCCACCACAGTATGACTTGATGAGCTGTGTGTAGGTCTGCGCCCGGGTCTGAAGCCACAAACCGCAGGCTGCCAGAGCAGAACATGCAAACTTAACCACTGTGCCTTCAGGCCAGCCCCTAACATGCTTTTAATGGGACTGTTAGAAGGAAATGAATGAGAGAAAGGAGCAGAAGAAATATTCGAAGTAATAATGGCTGAGCATTTTCCAAAATTAATGACAAACACAAAACCAAAGATTTTGTTCTAAAATTTCCAATTACTACTTTCTCATAATTTCTATTTATATGCTGAGACTTCCTATTTTTCCTCTCATTATGAGTATTTTTCTTTATCTCATTGAGTGTATTTATAATGGATGTTTTAAAGTTTGTGTCAGACAGTTCCAGCACTGAGTAATCTTGGTGTTAGCCTTTGTTGGTCACCTTTTCCCTTGAGAATGAGTTACATTTTCTTGGTTTTTCATATGTTGGGTAGTTTTTACATTGTATCCTGCACATTTAAAAATGTTATTTTCTGAAGACTCTGGATTCTGTTATATTCCTCTGAATGATATTGTTTCAGCAGGCAATTCACTTGGTTAGATTCAAACTGAAACCTAGTCTCACATCAGTAGGTAGTAGTTCAAACCTAGGTTCAGGCGTTTGTAGTCTGTCTCGTGCATATGTGCACGGGGTCATTCAGAGTCTTGGGAAGAGTTTATACACAGCATTTGTCGTTCCTCTTCCCTGGGTTTCCTGTTTTTAGGATTCTCCTCTCACTCTCCAGCAGTCCTTCTTGCTCTGGGCTCCTCCACTTGGTTTGTACAGCCAGAAAGATGGTGAATTTTCTTTTGAGATTTCATCTGCCCGTGCCATGCTGTGAATGTGGCTGCCCTGTGGACCAAGCCGCAGAAATGGGAAACTAGCCCCGTGCTAGTTTTTTGGGGGGAGGAGTGGGGGTTATTATTTTTCCCTGAGTTTATAGTTATCTGTGGGAGGGTCAAATTGTTAGAAGCTTACTCCATCAAATAAGAAGCAGACTTCTCCTGTTCCCTTCAGAGCAATAACTCAGGTTACTTCTCAGCATAGCCTCAAGTGGGGAAATACAATCTGCTACACAGATAACACTCACTAGGAGATATTTTGGACATGGCTAATAAGTACTAATTAGCACCAGGAAAATCTGACTAGGAGGGGATCTTGAGTGTATTGGACAAGACTGTAAGTGTGTAAGATATAATACTAAATATGAGGGATTATATTTATATAGGGTCACTCTCCTTTGACTTAGAATTTATTATTTTTTCACTTGGACATCTGAAACTGGTCATTGACACCACTGGGTTGGCTTCTTGGAACTTGGATTTAATAGGAGACTACAGTGAGGTAGAAATTGTGGAGCTGCCTTACATGAAAGAGGTCATGAGGCTTAAGAATTGGGGCATGGTAGAATAGGTTTATTATGAAAGACTGGAGAGCAACTATTTGACCATGTTACCCAGGAGGACTGTATTCACTACGGCAACCAAGAATATATTAGTGATGGGAACACAAGCATTGCCGAAAAGCTCAGTGGTGCCTGTTTTCTGTAGTCAGACGTTAGCAACAGAATACATAGCCAAAGATCTGGCTTCGTAGGATCAATGGGAGGATAAAATTCTGGGATGTGAGAGGTCAGATTGTGTCGTCTAGGCAAGATGGATGCAATTACTGTAATGGGCAGGAAGGCAGGAGTGATGGCCAGGTGCTTCAGCCTTCAAGTATGTATAGCAATGGCTATCAGGGCATGGTGTTCGTGTTCCTGGGGTGAGATAGACTGGCAGCCAACTAGAATATTACTGGGCTTGTATAGCCGGAAAAAAGTCGAGAGCTGAAAAGGCTGATGTCAGACCCTGATGGAGAATTATTATCCTCATCCAGTTTCTATATATGAGCTAGTTCTCAGTCCCCAATCCCATTGATTGACCTTGATCATCTTTACATTGTACAGAACAGCAAGCTAGCCTATCACCTTTATGTCATCATGCTAATCAGGCCTGGTGAGCAGGAAGTAGGAATTACTTTGGATGCCTTAGTTAGACACATGCATGTCAAAGGATGAGAGTTAAAAACATCTTAAAAAATTTGAGAGCCCTGCCATGTTGTTACATTTTTTTGGAAGTCAAATGGTCTGGGCAAGGCCAGACATAACTTTAAATGAGAATTTTGCGCTTTGTACCCTCTACTGATACAAGGGACAGCACTTAGTGGACTTCCTTGGAATTCAGAAGCAAAATGTATTGCACTTTGGAAAATAGTTCTGACCCATTTATTGCTGATACTTATGAGTAGGGCCCACAAGACAGATGGACTCTATGGCAGGTATAGCGTGCAGTGCAAGCTTTCCTGACACTCAGGCCATATCACCTTCCAGATTCAATATTAATGGAGTTTTCTGTGGTGGATAAGCACACTTTGGCGATTTCTTTGTTAATTGGGGAATTGAAACTTATATCCCTAGGACTTGGGAGAAAGGGCGTACTTTCTGTATCAGAAAACTTCTTGATGTTTGAAAAGTAGTTCTTGGAGTGCTACTGATAGACGCTGAGCATCTTACTATGAGACAACAAGTAATTATTTGACTGGAGCTGCCCATTTAGAGGCTGGGTATTGTCACATTCACTGTCGTCCACTATATGAAATAATTGTACATTCAAAGTCAGGCCTGAGCGTGGTACTTTTCGTAAACAGGTGGCTCATACCTTCATGTCACCTACCACTGTATTTTTCTTCAGTTTGTAACTATAGTCTCATGGAGGATCCTCTACCCTAGGCCTCATAATAAATGAGTTGAGTCAACTTCCTGATATATAGCCCCACTTAAGGGTGGCCTTAAGGAGCAGTACTAGTGAAAAATTATTCCAGTGGCAGAGTGTCTATATTTCTACTTGGTTGTCAACTTTGTATGGAAGAAGTAATCTGAAGTATTCATGGACTCCTATTCCTGTATATTCCTTTCCTGTATCCTATATTCATGGACTCCTAGGTAGTAGCAAATGGCTTGCCTTGTTTGTCAGACGCCTGAAAGAGCAAGACTGGAAGATCAGAGAGAAGGGTGTTTGGCATATTAAAGGACTTCTGGGTATGGCCATAGTATATGGACATTTATGCCTCTCATTTATGCATACAAGAGTAGAGCTCTTACAAGAAGAGACACAAGAGAACTTGGAGATGGAGAAAGGTTATTTGAACTGGCCAAAATGAGAAGGTGGGAGGATAGGTTCTCTCAAATCCACCTTAACAAAAGAAGAAAGCAGGGGGTTTTGTAGAACTAACTGGCTTAGGAAGAGGAGTCTTCGAGAAACAGAAAAGGGGAAAATCTGTGTTCCCCTCACTCCAGATATGCCCCTGGGCAATCCGACCTCTGGGCATCAACAGCAGCTAGGGGCGGCTATCTGGTGATCATAACTTCCCTGGAGGCATTCTCTGTCTTCTGCCAAACAAGCTCACAAATCCCTGGGACCCCTGGGCCACCCCTCAGGTTAAACAAGAAAACAGCAAATCAAGATTAACTTCCTCTCATCTGTGTGTGCGCTGGGAACAAGGTTGAAGGGTAATCAAGTTCTTATTGAATATTTACAGTAACCCTCATGTACGCAGCTTCAACTTCACTTTTGGAAATGCAGTTTTCACCTGTCGGGCATGTGGCTGTGTACATGACCTTAGATATTTAATCATCTCAACTTGGAATTTGTGAGGGCAAAATTCAAGCCAAGTCTTGGATCATTCGGTAACAATTTCATGAGAATTTATAGTGATTTTAAGGTATAGATCACATTGTCATTATCATTAGGAATAGTTGTAGAACTTGAGGCTAAGGAACATTAAGCTTTTTTCAGAGCGTAGTGTATTGATCATGTTTTTTATTTTCTGTATTTTATGATGTTTTGACATCTTAAAAAATTTGCTGACCAGGGAGACTGCCCCTCCTAGGGCTAGCCAGTTCTTAGAGATAGCAAAGGGCTGGAAACCTGCCTGGTGCATGTTGTTCATATGCAAACCAACCAACCTTAGCCCCAGACACCTCCTTATCTCTCTCACACCAACCCAATATTTCCCCTGCCCTAAATCAACCTGGGGCAGACAACTAGAGATACCCCTATAGCCCAGAGCTCTATGAGGGATGGGCCCAAGCCACATTGGAACTTTACAAATAAGATTGAATCTCTTGGATAAAATCTTTATTGTAAAAGAAAGTCTAGACAATTTTTCTTTGTCATTTGGGCTTATTCTTTGCTATGTAAGTCAAGGTCTGGATATAGTTGGGGTGACACCAGGTAGAATGAGACTGTCTAATTCAGCCAAGATTGCTTCTCTTTCATGGGGGCAGACTGTTGTATTTGGATAAGTCCTTTTTAGAAATCAGATTAAACAATTGTCATTATAGTATTAATCGGGGCAGAAATTCTAGGGGCTACTTACGCTGCATAACTACTACTGTGAAAGAAAAGACTATTCAGTATCTGAAGCAAAAAGCTGGATTTATTGCTCACTTTCTGTTTCAGTTATCTATTATCGTACAACAAAATCACCCAAAACTTAATGGCTTAAAACAATTTATTACTTCTCTGTAGGTAGAGTGGGTGATTTTTTTTGCTCAACTTGGCATTAGCTGAAGTCTTATTTGGCGGGCTACCTTAGCCAATGATGGGGCTAGGCTGGAAGGTCTAAAAAAATTTCTCTCACACATCTGGCATCATGGGGTTACACACTGGTAGCCTGAGTGTCTCCACAGCTTGGGAGTCTCAGGCTCGAACTTTCTGCAAGATGATTCACTTCAAGAAGGAAAGTGGAAGCTGCCACACTTCTTACAGTGTAGGCCTGGAACTTCTGCCACATTGTAATAAGCCAAAGCAAGTCACAAGGCCAAGCCAGATTCAAGAGGATGGGAAAAGAGTCTCTCTCTCATGAATAGAATGGCATGAGGGAAGGAATTGATATTGTCCATCTTTGACCATCACGCTAACCAAAGGAGGACTACACTTGTACATCAGTCAAAGTACAAAATGATGCAAGGTTTTGAGAAATGGGGGATTTAGGGATTGACAGGCTTTCAAAGGCAGAAGTGTTTAGGGACTGACTGGCTTACCTTCAGTCATAAAAGTGTAGTTACTGGAGTGAGGCTGTAGCTGACTTGCTGACTTCCCAGAGTATGGTCAGCGTGAAAGCTGCTGTTAACTGGCTTTCAGAAAAGTGGAGCTGTCACAAATCGGCCAACCTCCATAAGCATGTGCACTGAGACATTGTCTCTGATTAATTGCTATCAGTGTCTGATAATCTGTCTCTGACCCATCAATTCTGGTGGTTACTAATTCATAGCTTGAGGCTGTGGCCAAGAAACCGTCAGTCTCAGGCTTTCCTGAATTTGTAGCGTACAAAATTTTATTCATACCAGAGTATTATTTTTTAAAAGTTATTTTCATGAGTACAGGCTTTATTCTTAATAAGAGATTTACCACAGCTATTGGCCTGTCCCCAGGAAGTACTAATTTTGATTTTGATTGAGAAGCCTGAGGAAGTTAGAAAATGTATTTGCTTTCACAGCAGACTGACATAAAGAACTCTAAAGGCATTTACGTTCCTTTTAAACATCTATCAAGATGGCATCTAGCAAGATATTCTACGGTAACAGTATTTTACCATGCAGTATTCAAAAGTTTACTTTATTCTTTAAGATACTACATTCTTAAGATAGAAGAAATCACTAAGAATCATACTATGTGCTCATTAGTGTTAAACATCAGACACATCAGAATGAGGCATGCTTAAGAAGTTGAACATTATGAAAGTCACCTTCAATAGGAAGGGGAAGTAAGCTGGCACGATTTAGACTGGAGCGGCATTTGACATTTGTAGGAAGTGCAGGTAATAAAATAATTTTACTGGTAATATACTAATACTACTGGTGGAGTTGGGTATTTTAATTTTTTTTATTGGGATACAGTTAGTTAAGTATGACATAAAGATGGTGTTTTATCATGGGATAGTGAGAAAATTATAAAATGATATACAGAAATCTGGCCATTGACTTGGAAAAAATAAAGTAATACTGTGGGTACAGATCAATTAACAATTCAATTCAGTTCAAACAATGTTTATTTCATACATTTACTGCTACATTCCATCAGGAAATTTCTTGTTTTGATGTTATGACAGTTCAGCAAGTAAAGCACATTTCTTTGGGGAAAAAAAATCTAATGCCTATTAGGCTTTTAACATATAAATATAATGCACAAAATAAATATACTTCACAAAAACCACCCACAAATTGCTGTCTGCATCATTTCTGAACCACATACCATATGTAAAAGTATACCTCTACACTGGTTGTGAAATTTTCGCCTCTAAGAACAGGAAAACTTACTTTTGTAAAGCACCAGATAGCCACATGGTCTATCAGAACTACTCAACTCTTGTAGTGTGAAGGCAGCCAAAGCAAAACGAATGGTTTTTGTTTGTATTAGTGTTCTAATAAAACTTTATTTGTGGACACTGAAATTTGAATATAATTTTCACATCACAAAATATTCTTTAATTTTTTCAATCATTTAGAAATGTAAAGCCATTCTTAGCTTGCAGGCTACAAAAAAAGGCAGTGGACCAGATCTGAGTCACTTGTGGGAAAACGCACAACCAAACCAAACCAAGGCACTACAGCAAGAAAGTGGGGGCTGACTGTTGGTAGCCAACCTTTTTTTTTTTTTTTGTAGCATAAGTCAAGAAATACAAATTATAATGATGATAATACCTAACATATAGCTCTTCTTGTGTCTCAGACACTATTCTAAGTGCTTTAAAAATAACTCATTTATACCTCAAAGCAATCCTAACATATTGTTTTTATCACTTCTCTTTTATAGAAAAGGACACTGAGGCACAGAAAAGTTAAGCCCCATGCTGGAGTCTGAGCCTAGGCAGTGGAAGTCGAGAGTCCATACTCTCTAACCACTATGCCATGTTGCTTCTACCAGGAAGAAAAAGGTAGTGAAGAACATTTAGCACTCGCATACAAAATAAAAATGCAGATAGCTCTACACTCTGCTAAAACATCAACAGTAAGATAGATAGTATTTCTTTACATAGCATTATTTGTTTTTTATTGTGTAGTGTTTTCAAAAATAAACTCAGGCTTTTGCTATAAATGTGGTCCTAATGTAAAATTTGGCTGACCATGAGACACTTGAAAATTTTACAAAAACATTTTTAGCTTCTGAAGGATTAGTTCAGTAACAATGTCTATATCCATTTAAAAATGCCAGGAATAGGAGAAAATATGCATTATAATTTTAAAAGAATATTACACTTAAATACACATTATATTAACAAAGGAGTCACTACTGAGACTTAATGTGAAATATCTTCATATACATAAAAGTTATTGAACTAAGGTTACATATTTCCCTACGTACAATTATGGATGGGTTCCATATGAACATCAAACATCCACAATCTGTGTTTTGTAACACATGCACTTAGACACATACTAAAGGACTCTTCACATTTTTTTTAATGTCACCTGGTTATTCAATTGATTTGTGCTTTTAAAAAAGCGTCATATATCTAGACATTTGCAGGTTTCTTTAAAAAAGAAAAAACCTTGGAATCATCTCTGCAACATGACTTGGAGTACAGCCGTACCTTGTTTTATGGCACTTTGCTTTATTGCACTTTGCGATACTGCATTTTTTACAAGACCCTCCACCAGCAAAAAGATTATGACTCCCTAAAGGCTCAGATGATGGTTAGCATTTTTTTAGCAAAAAGTATTTTTAAATTAAAGTATGTACATTTTTTAAAGACATACTATTGCACACTTAATAGAGTACACCATAAACTAACTTTTATATGCACTGCAAACTAAAAAATTTGTGTGACTCACTTTATTGAGATATTTGCTTTACTGTGGTGGTCTGGAACCAAACCCACAATATCTCCAAGGTATGCCTGTATAACTTTCCCTCAGTAAAGATTCTCTTTGAATTTTTGTTTAAAAACTTTCAGATATTTAAAATATCTATAAAGGTTCTATCCCAGTATCAATGATCCAGCATTCACTGAAATATCACTCCACGATAAAGGCTTCTGTATCTGTCGCAATCTTTGATTAATCCCCTTTGAGCACTCTAATATGAGTCAAGCTGGTGTAGAAAGATTTCTGAATGCTCAGGATACTGATAGGAGTTTCTCACTGGTGTGAGCTTTTGGATGTCTAGTGATGGCTGCCCTGACAGAAAACTTCCTGACATTCATTTTACTTACAGGATTATTTCTCTCCTGTGTGATTTCTATATTATACAGTAAAGTATGACTTCTGAAAGGTTTCCCTCATGTTTTACAATTTGTGGTGTTTCTCCCATCTCTGTTGTCTGATATTTAGTAAAGTCTGACATATGGTAAAAATTTCTCCCTTATAGATTTACAGAATTTTTCTCTGTGTGTTTCCTCTCTGTGAAGAAAGATTGTAACTAAAATTTCCCCATATTGATGATAGTCATAAGGTTTTTGTCTTGTGTGAATTATCTGGTTATTCTGAAGGATAAATTCAGAGAGAAGAATTTCCCAATTCACACTATTTATAAGGTTTTCCCCTTTGTGTGTGTCTTCTGATGTGCAGTGAGCTTTGATCTCTGGATAAAAGTTTCCCCACACTCCTGACATTCATAGGGTTTCTCCCCTGTGTGTTTTCGCTGATGTATGATAAAATGTGACTTCTGAGAGAAAGATTTCCCACATTCCTTACATTCATAGGGTTTCTCTCCTGTATGAGTCCTTTGATGTAATCTGAGGACTGAATTCACAGAGAAGGATTTCCCACATTCATTACATTCATAGGGCTTCTCCCCTGTGTGTTTTCTCTCATGTTTAGTGAGGTCTGATTTATAGTAAAAGTTTTTTCCACATTTCTTACATTCAAAGGGTTTCTCCCCTGTGTGAGTTCGCTGATGTACTGTGAGGGCTGACTTCTGGTAGAAGCATTTCCCACATTCCTTACACTCATAGGGTTTCTCTCCTGTGTGAGTTCTCTGATGAGTTTTGAGGTGGGAATTTCTAGAGAAGAATTTCCCACATTCCTTACATTTATAGGGTTTCTCCCCTGTATGTGTTCTCTGATGTACTGTGAGGTGTGATTTCTGGGAAAAGGATTTCCCACATTCCTTACATTCAAAGGGTTTCTCCCCTGTGTGTGTTTTCTGATGTACCATGAGGTATGCCTTAACATAGAAGAACTTCCCACATTCAGTACATTCATAGGGTTTCTCTCCTGTGTGTGTTTTCTGATGTTCCATGAGGTGTGGCTTCTGGTAGAAGGATTTCTCACACTGATTACATTCATAGGGTTTCTCCCCTGCATGAGTTCTCAGATGTCTACTAAGAGATGACAGGTGGTAGAAAGTTTTCTTACATTCTTTACATTCGTAGGCTTTCTCTCTGGTATGAGTTTTCTGATGTTTTGTGAGGTCTCCATTCCTAGAGACGGATTTCCCACATTCACTGGGTTTCTCCTTTGAATGAGTATGCTGATGTACCATGAGGGCAGACTCCTGGCAGAAGGACTTTCCACATTCATTACATTTGTAGGTTTTCTCTCTGTTAGGAGTTTTCTGATGTTCTGTGAGTTCTCCATTCCTAGAGAGAAATTTCCAAATTCATTAATGTATAGGGCTTTTTTCGGTCTGCTCTGGGTATTTTCCAAATAACTCTGAGAACCAGTTTCTAGAGATTTTCCCATATTCATTAGATTCATAGGGTTCCTCCACTTTGAATGTTCTCTGACATACATTGTGGTTTAACATTTGGTAGAAAGAACTTTCACTTGCATTATATTCACAGGGTCTCTCAACTGCCTGAACTCTACTTTGTGTAATAGAGCCTCCCTTACTGTGTAATTCAGAAGAATCAAAAGACTACTTTGAAGTTTGAAGCTCCTGATCCTGAATTAGGCCTCTATCATGAAAATGCGCTTTCCCATCTGGATTATATTCTTTGGAATTTGCTCCAGTGTTAGTTTTCTCACATTTATTACTAACTAGTGCTCTCCCAGTTCCAGTACCCTATCAAGACCCTTTTCTACAATGCTTCCAGTCTTAAAATTGAATTCTTGAACTTGCCTTGAATTTACAGCTTGACTTTCCTGGTGTCTTGCTCCTAGGTCATGAGTATTCCATAGGTCTTCTAGAAAGGAATCCAAAATTTAATACCATATAAATCTTAACAGATTATTACATCATAGGGTTGATTCTTAGGCTTCAGGCCAATCTCCCCAAACGAAGGAACTTTCAAATGCAAATTTCCTTTATCCCATTGGTTTAGGAAAAAACATAACAAACACTAAAAACTGCAATAGCAGACAGAAGGAGGAACCTGATTATAAACCCAAGTACCTCTGACACTTTACAAATATGACCTTAAAAACTTGGAGAAGAAAGTTAAAACAAAAACAAACAAAGAAGAGACAGCAGAGAACAAAAGATCTTCAAAGTGTTGCTGAACAGGAATATGGGACTCACAGACAATGCTGTGAGCCCAGTAAGGACAATAAACAGTAAGTAGGGTGATGATAAAAATTAGTGGACAACTATATTCACTGGAGACATCAGAGGAAATATTAAATTGGATGAAGGAGCTAAAGTGTAGGTCTTTATCTGCTCAAACCGAGTTTACTGTGTTAGGATTCCTAGTAGTTAGCAGACTATAAACTGCCATTTTATTCCCTCTTTACCCATACACAACAATCTAGATGTCAACACTAAAGTGACTCTGTCAGAACATCAATTTTTTCATGTTTAGATGAACAGTCCTATAGCTTGGGCTTTCACTCTCCATCTAGTTGGCTTAATTTTCACTGGGACAGAAGACCCAAGAACACGTACATCCAAAAGGAAAGTTAATAAAAAAGCAGAGTGCCAGCCAGCCATACAACATGATGAATTCCCAGTTGTAGCACCAGAGATTGTCAATCCTGACCACCAAATACTGCATCTGCAAAGCAGTGTTACCCATGACTCAACACTAGTCTTATTCTGCTTTCGTATCTTAGGTCCCACATCTCTGCTTCAATTTACTACATGATCTTTAAAGATTAATTATTCAACATCATTCTAGAACCTTTACTGACTTTCATATTTAATTCATCTTTAAATGTTTGAAAAAAAGTGAAAAATTATGAGCAGAGGATTAGGGTTGGAATTTCATGGCATTTTGGGGGAAATATAAGTTATGTGATAGGGACTTGTGCAAGGTTAACTTGGATACACATGAAGTAAGATCCTATGTATGGAAGACACTTAAGAGAGCAGATGAAATGAATATTAGCATGTGTTTGGGGGTCACAAGGAGAAATAAGATGCAGTAGGCAAGAAAGGACCAGACCAGTTCTTGACAGAAAATTAATTCTTAAGTATATTTTGTAATAGTGAGTGGGTATAAGTTTACTATGACAGGCTAGTAGCAATATAAGTTTGCAGCACTACACAACTACTATGAGGATTTAAATTAACAATTAGTTTTTGACCCTAAGAAGGAAGGGAGTTAGATCAGTGGAACTATCCTATAAGATGGTAAAATATGGGACCAGAATACAAAAAAGACAAAGATACTAGAGATGTCAATTTTAGGATATCTCAGCCTAAAAACCAATGCTTTGGTCTTAAGAAAGGATGTGCCCTTGAAGAAGTTACTATAAAGGGCACAGAGCAGAAGATAGTGAGTGTCTGTTTCTTGTTATCTGAAACTCAATCTTTCAACAAATATCTAGTAAACAACTAATATATACCAGGTATTGTTCCTGGTCCTAGCAACACGTAAGTGTACAAGTTAGAAAATACATGAAAAGCATTTAAGGAAGCAGAGTGAAATCATCTTATCTTACTGTTTGTTTGTTTTTTTATCTTAGTATTATAACACTCCAAATAAGGTGCAATAGATTTTAGGAAAGATAATCAGTATTTTGTGTGAAAGACAAACACCATGTAGAAGGAAGTATCAACTCTAAAATAATATAATTGATGAAAGGCATAATGATTTGTAATCTGATTTTAGAGTTTAAAGAGAGAATAGTTAAAACTGGTGCTGAAAATAACTAAGGCATTTCATTGTTAATAAAAGGAGGAAAATGGCATTTAAAAAAATTTATAAGTCAGATTTATAAATACTTGAAGATTATACTTGCATACTTCAATGGCAGGGTGTAAGAGGGCATTCTAGAAAAAAGACAAAAGTTTAAGTCAAGGTTAGTATATAGGAAAGAGAAGTAAATCTATAAAAAAATGTTGAGCAAAGGAGGAATTTAGGTGGAGAGAATGAAGATTGGAGGTGTGATTTATGTTGCTTACATATGCAAATCAAGTGTGCTTAGTCATTTCCAAAAGGATGGGGTATTTAAAAAAGTGATTCCTGAAAAATATTTCAAAAGGCAAAAGGCACCAACCACCTCCCTAATAACATGCCCCATAATTTTCACTCACCAGGGGAGTTCCGACGTGGAAATTCTATTTCTAATATCCATGGCTCTTTTCCTTGCTTCAACTTGAAGATTGTTTTTGACTTATTCACACAATAACCTATTAACAGAAAAGATAAAGAAAACAATATAAATACTTGTCATTTAGGGGTTCTAAAGGAAAAAGAAGCACAGTTTTAGAAGCAGAGCAATGAAGGTCCCATTTAGGCTTGACAAATTTAGATTCTTTCAATGGAGAGGGTGGGGACACAAATATTTTTTCTGGTACCCAAAATGAATTCATGAACTTTGACCCCTGAAACAAAGCTAATTCAGCCCTGCAGAGGCCTTACATGTTCCAGCAACTGGGAAAGGAAACGCAGACTACTAAGAGTTACATATGGGGAAGTTTTTCTCACCCACTGAGAGTAGGTGACCATAGTTCTCCTGCATCACTTCCCTGTACAGGGTCCTCTGAGCAGCGTCCAGTAATTGCCACTCCTCCTTGGTGAATTCCACAGTAACATCCTTGAATGTTACTGGTCCCTGTAACAACATATTTCAGTTCAGACTGAAGTGATCAGAACAGAGTACCACTGAAAAGACGTGTAAGTTAGATCTTAATGTGCTAACTACAGAATTTACTCTGGAAAGTTAAGATATACTCTACCCTGTACCCTGCTTTATACATAGATAAAATATTTGTTCAATATATATTTACTGAGATATCACTCCATGCCTGGAACTCTGCTGGAGATACAAAGATGAATGAAAGCAACTATTCCTGTTATTAAGGAGCTTACTTCCTGACAGGGAGGCAAAGATGTCAATGCTCAGATGCAACATGCACAGCAGGTGCTATCACAGAAGTATGTACAAGATATAAGATGGTCACAAATGGGGATGGTTATTTGCATTTTGTATTATCAACTTAGATTTTATTAGGTGGTCAAATTGACTAATGTAAACTTCAGGAATAAAGAAAACAGATTTGGCAAAGGCATGGATGCGTGAAAAAATGGCACATTTAGGAAACTACAAATAAGACAGTATGTTATGAGGAGAGGGTGTAGGACCAAGATTAGTTAGAAGATGATAGTCATGTCAGGCTACAGAACATGGAGTAAGTCTAAAGCTGTCTTTTGGACCATGAAAATATATTTAGCATACCACCTTAACTGATGTCTGTTTATTAATATATGCTTACATCTATTACTGTGTTTATTAAAAATTGACAAGTTTTATTTCTTTTTTTGTATTTATATAAAAAAATATGAATAGATATTCTGTTACTTCACACTATGTGCACTGTCTTACACATCTTTGGGATGTCCACCCCTTGACTTTCTAGATGCAAATTCAGATAATGGAAAGCCACGAAAGAGACAGATGTAACCGCTAGAGTTACATGAGTAGGGTAGTAATTTAGAAGAAAACTCTAAAGTAGAAGAGGCAAATGGCAGATCAGAAAGATGGAGTGTTACAAAATTAAGAGACATCTGTGGGCAATAGACATTTACATTAAAGAAGAAGCAATGGGGGAAAGAAGCATAACATAACTTTGTAATCAATTGGAAATTAATAACTACTGGGAGAAAGGGGGAGAATAACTCCCACAATGTCTTTATGGTTTGGTAATGGCTAGAGTCATAATGCTAATTATTTTCATTCTTTCATTTTTATTGATAGAACTATTTAAGGCTATGAAATTTCCTTCAATCACTGCTGTATTTATGTTCCAACTGAACTGTAGTATTTTTACCTGAAGAACATCTTGGCTGGATATAAATTCTTGCTTCACACTTTTTTCTTGAAAACACTGTTCTACAATTCCTGTTTTATATATTTACGTATTGTTAACAAGAATTACATCAATTTTATTTTCTTTCCTTGCCAAGTAACTTAGAATTTTTTTCCTTGAGACTCAGAGGACTTCTTTTTCTTTACTTTTAAATGAGTCCAGTAGGTTTATTAGACTCTCTCTTGGTGTTTACCATTCTGGATCAATTCTCTCTGGCACCCAGACGGCCTTTTCAATATGTAGACTCAGTTGTTCTTTTCTTTATGGAAAGTTTCCTTGGATTATAGTTTTAAATATTAGTTCTCTTCCCCTCTAGTTTTTGTTATTTAGGGATTCTCCTTTGTCTTTCTGCTATTTCTATTACTCTCTTCCTCATCCTTGACAATTCTTGTTTTTCCCCCCATTATGGTCTCTTTCCATTCCTCTCCTGTATGTCATATATTATACTTTCATGCATATCTCATCTCCCTTAGGTGCACTGTAATTTAATCTTTTTATGTGAGATGATTTTATGTTCTGTTATTTCTTTCCTCAGTTAACTTGCCTATATTTTATATTTACTTGCTTTTCCATTTCTATTGTGAGTCTTCAATCTCTCATTTTTAAAGTTCTTTCCTATCTGAAATTACTTGATATTGGAGAGTTGTGTTTTCCTCTACTTTTTGTTTGTTTGGGGGAGGAGTATTTATATCAATTGAAAAAGTGTTAATTCACACTCTCTGCTTTCTTAAATTAGTATTGTATGGATGTTGAGGAAATTTTTTGTTCATGCTCAGATGAAGATAAAAGTTGATTTTATGGTGGGGACAAGTGAAAGGGCACTCTAGTTCTCAGTTCGAAATCCCTCTCTGGGGCCGGCCCTGTGGCCGAGAGGTTAACTTCATGCGCTCCGCTTTGGTGGCCCAGGGTTTCACTGGTTCGGATCCTGGGTGCGGACGTGGTGCCATTGGTTGGGCCACGTTGAGGCAGCGTCCCACATGCCACAACAGGAGCGACCCACAACTAAAATATACAACTATGTACTGGGGGGGATTTGGGGAAGAAAAAGCAGAAAAAAAAAGCCCTCTCTTCTGTTGGCATAGTATGTTCACATTCTTGAAGAAAACAGCACCACTGGGGATGGTGTCTTTAAATCCTGTGATACTGTATTCTTTTTTTAGGACACCTGATTTCAGCTGCTTGTTTTCTTATTTGCTTCACTACTAAGCACACAAGGGATTCCTTCTTTTCCTGAGTCATTGCCTGCCCCAAGCTGCCACCTGTATTCCTGCACACATCCTAAGTCCCTTCTTTTCTATTTTCAGCGCTTGGATCCCACAGGTCTCAGACCTCTTCTCCATCCTTCTCCAATCAGGGTGACAGCCTCTGCTTCTGGCAGTGTGCCTACTTAATCTTATGTTCCTTTACAGCTATGACATCACCATCTCTTCTCTCCTGACTTCCTTCTCTGGACTGAGCTCCAAGCTACTTCTGCTCTTTTGATAATGATCTCCCAACTTATATGTTAACTGACATTTCCTGTCTCCTGGCTATACAGTAGGAGTAGGTTATGGTGTATGAAAATATCTATAATTTACCAACTAACATTATTCTATGGCAACTAGGAAATCCATAAAAGAAAATGGGAAAACAAGAAAAAGAGTAAGTTGAGCAGAAGGAGACAATGAGTTGAATTTTGTTCATGTTGTGCTTGAAGTGACTGTAGACTGTATAGCTGGAACTGTCCATTCGGCAGATATACATGTAAGTAAATTTCCACAAATAATACTTTCATATATATGAAAAAATAGCGTTCTCAAAGAATACAAAAATAAAAGAATCTGTGGGAGCAGAAATATATGAGATGATGGTAGGAAAAACTAGGCAAAGACCATGAAGCCTGACAAAACTTCTTTAAATGTAAGTGTAGGCCAGGAAGAGAGTGTTTAGGAAACCAAAGAAAGAAAGATTCACAATAATGGACAGTTATAGTTCAAGATTCAAATGTAAAAAGTCCACATAAGAATAACTCAATAAAAGCACAGTAGAAGAGTGCAAGCTGTAATCAGTAAGCAAGATAATTTGAGAAATTTTTAGATGATCTAGACCATAAGATCAGATAAGAGAAACCAGCTTTTGGAAACACATCCTAACAGAGAGCTCAGGACAACTTCTATGCTGATAGTCAAAGGGCTGTAATTTGACATGGACAGTAGATTAACTGATTTGGCACAGAAATTAATCAAAGCTTATAGGATTCCTTGCTTTTTTCTTTTTAACAAAGAGCATCCAGCAGCAAAAGAATCCTCAGCAAAAGCTAATATAAAACTAATATAGGGGTGGGGCCAGCTCAGTGCCACAGCAGTTAAGTTTGCATGTTCCGCTTTGGCGGCCCAGGGTTTGCTGGTTCGGATCCTGGGTGCGGACATGGCACCGCTTGGCAAGCCATGCTGTGGCAGGCTTCCCACATATAAAGTAGAGGAAGATGGGCATGCAGGTTAGCTCAGGGCCAGTGTTCCTCAGCAAAAAGAGGAGGATTGGCAGCAGCTGTTAGCTGAGGGCTAATCTTCCTCAAAAAAAAAAAATATATATAGGGGCTCTGAATATGGGCACAGTACAGCCAAAAAGAGAAACACAAAATTGTTACACACTCACATTTTATTCTTTTGTAATACATATGGATTTTCTATGTGTGTGTGAGGAAGATTGGCCCTGAACTAATATCTGTTGCCAATATTCCTCTTTCTGCTTGAGGAAGACTGTTGCTAAACTAACATCTGTGCCAGTCTCCCTCTATTTTTTATGTGGGATGCCGCTACAGCATGGCTTAATGAGCGATGTGTAGGTCCACGCCCAGGATCTGAACCTGCAAATCCCAGGCTGCTGAAGTGGAGTGTGCAAACTTAACCACTACACCACCAGGCTGGCTCCCCTATGGATTCTTTTAAAAACAACACTTCTGATGAAATACAGCCAGGTGCCACATAATGACATTCTGACCAATGATGGACCACATATAGGACAGCGGTCCCATAAGATCAGCACCATATACCCTAGGTGTGTGGTAGGCTACACCACTGAGGTTTGTGTAAGTACACTCTATGATGTTCACACAATGATAAAATCACCTAATGACACATTTCTCAGAACATATCCCTGTCATTAAGGGACACACGGCTATAGTTACAAGTACTGCTTCCTCATGGTATATCGTCTCACTTCAGCAATTAAAAGAATACCTAAGAGAATAAGAATAAAAGTGACATGTGACTTTTCATATGCAGAACCAAATGCTAAAAGACAAAGAAAGAATGCCCACAAAGTTCTAATGGAAGAAGTTTTGAACCTAAAATTCCATGCCCTGCCAAATTTTCATTCAAGGATAAGAAAAGAAAAATAAACATGTTTTCATAAACATAAAGATTTTAAAAACATACAAACTATGCACCTATTCTTCAAAGCAGTAGAATATACTTCACAGAAATCAAGAAAGAAAAGCACAAGGTAAACCAGAAATAACAGCTAACAGACTTAAGAGACTAATTAGAACTTATTTCTGGTATGGCCACAACAGGAAGCTGTGGAAGTTAAAATGGATTGCTTACAGAGACAGTGAAAAGGGAGACTATCCTGTATAGTAAATCATCACATTGCCCTTCCAAAATACTTATAAGTATGTTAACAAAGTGCTCACATCTTTTCATGGAATACTCACTGAGAGACCATTTTCTGGCCAGAAAATAAATCTTAAACTTAAAATAACTGA